ATGCACAACTATACCAGGCTTGGCTCACATTGGAATCTGCGGAGATTGTCTAGTGGGGTACGAGGGAGACGGACTCAACTGCAGCAACATCAATGAGGTGTGACATATACATAGTTGTTGCCTTTAACTTTGACGCCGCGGTGAGATAAATCGGAAGTTGGAAATCAGAAAAACAAATTGGAAGAAATAGAGGAAGGACAAAATGTTATAAGGGGCCGTCCGTAATTATCGAACGTTTTTCACCAAACGAATTATTTTAGTTTAGTCCCAACCCCTCCCTCCCTCCCCCTCAGAACGTAAAAAAAGTTGGACATATGTATGCATAATACAACAAAAGTTGCAAGTGTGTACGTGTAACTGATCCTATGGGCATGTACATGTATCAATGTTTTCTGAAACGAAATTGGTCAACCCCCTCCCACCCCATAACGAAATTATTTCGTTTTGTGAAAAAAGTTCGATAATTATGGACGACCCCTAAGTTATGGCCAACTGTCCACCAATATAACCAGACAATATACATATACAGCCAGCAGTCACTTGCTGACCGTATAACATCGGTGGACAGTTGGTCATAACCGTCAGGCGTAACATTTTTTCCTTCCCCTTATTTATCCATGATTACGTTGGCTCAACATCCGAGTATAACTTAGAAGCGTTCCTATTCTTTTATAAAGGAGTACAATAGGGCTTGAAAGTGCTACGTCACAGCATAGCAACAATTTCAAAAATTCAAAAACTGCATCCACCTGGATCCATTTTTTGTGTGGATCCAAGCACATTTCAAGCGGTCTTACTCACAGCAAGGTGATATAACTGGTGAAATTGACGGGGTTGGCTAATGGGGGTGGGGTGACAACTGGTGGCAAAGAAAGAGTCACACCTGCATACGACGTGCGTGGGTTGCTATGCACCCACACACTGAGGCAATAGCAAAGTCGCACCTGGGTGGATCCAAAATAGAAATCTGATGTCAACTTACTACTCCCTGGCCGTTTTTAACGTCATCACGTTCAAGCCCTATAGTCGTGCATCTATACACTGTCCACACCAGTCTAGAAGAGATCGAATATTTTCTGAACCAAACGTTTTCGTTCCCTTCTCTTCATGGGCTCATACAGGGAATAGAGCGAAGTAACTAAAACATCAATTATATAGGCAAACAATTTGAACATGAAACATCACGCTACACGTGTGAAAGGTTTAGTGCAAGTAACCGGTGGGTGAGTTGGAATCGGAAGTTTCTCTTAAGAATTTGCCCATGCCACCATTGCTTGCTCGCTTTGGGCCAATTTGTCACCAAGTACTAATATCAGTTATACAGTATTCACTAGGAATGTGGCTAGTGCCGGGAGAAATCAAGATTTTGCAAAACGTAACGAGCATAAACTAGTGCTTGGTTAGAACTAGGACTCATCTTACCATTGATGTGTTATTGCTAAGCCGCCTGCCTGAGGGAATAAGCAGGAAGTTCTCATGCCGAACGGGTAGGGTATGAGATTAGAAGTTGCGATTTTGGCGGTAGTAGTAGTAGATGGTGTTGGTCGCTCCTACATGGAACACATGCTTCCTGCCAAACTTGACATTTGACTAACTCACGACTTCCATCCCAGGGCCGGCGCCACTGGTATGGCTGGTAAGTCAGTCCACGTGGAACGTCCAAAACCGGGGAGAAAAAGTCTTGATGTATGATTTTGTACAGGGAGTCGCCCAGAGTGCAGGATTTGCCGTCTAAATTCCAAATCAATTCCAAATTTTTCGGGGGGCGACCCCCAGACCCCCCTTAAAGATGGCCCTTCGGCCGCACCGCTCCGCGGAAGCCGCCTTCGGCCCTGCATTCGGAGCACACAAGAAGCAAGTCGCACTTTCCACTCGCCAAACCTGCAAGAAACCACCACTCCCTGCTCAGTACACACTGCTACCTGGGGCCTCACGAGGTTTTTATCGTGCTGGAAACGGAGCATCACTCTAAGTTTATATCCCTAATCATGGTCGGGAGGCTTTTAATTGTAATGCTCCTGGATCCGAAATTTCAATAGCGTACTCAAGCTCATCTGATGATGGGGGAATTCCCCTAGACACTGTGTATTGAGCGGGGACGGTGGTGCTTTCGTGCAGGTTTGCCGAGTGGAAGGTGCGACATGCTCCCCGTGTGCTCCGGGTGGCGTGGCAGTAGTGAATCAGTCCAGTGTCAAGTGTGGCAGGTAGCGTGTGTTCCACGTAGGAACGGCCAGCTCCATCTAAAAGAGTACCTGAGTCATGAATCCAAGAGTGTGCAGCTCTGATGGGTTGCTGTCACGGCGAAATTCCGTGATTACATCATTTTAGTGATGCCGTGCGTACAAGCTGGATTCAAGCAGGTCTCTTTCTGCACAACTGCAGCTCTGTCGTACTCACTACGCCACTTCCCGCCTCAGATCTGCATCAAATATGACGTAATCCTGGAATTCCGCCGTGACGGACACCCATGCCTAACAAGTCAGAAGCTGCACACACCGGCTTTCATGTACTCTGGGTGTTAGAATATCCACTGATTGAATATCCACTGATTGAATATCCACTGATTGAATATCCACGGATTGAATATCCACGGATTGAATATCCACTGGTTGAATATCCACTGGTTGAATATCCACTGGTTGAATATCCACTGGTTGAATATCCACTGGTTGAATATCCACTGATTGAATATCCACTGATTGAATATCCACTGATTGAATATCCACTGATTGAATATCCACTGATTGAATATCCACTGATTGAATATCCACTGATTGAATATCCACTGATTGAATATCCACTGATTGAATATCCACTGATTGAATATCCACTGATTGAATATCCACTGATTGAATATCCACTGGTTGAATATCCACTGGTTGAATATCCACTGGTTGAATATCCACTGGTTGAATATCCACTGGTTGAATATCCACTGATTGAATATCCACTGATTGAATATCCACTGATTGAATATCCACTGATTGAATATCCACTGATTGAATATCCACTGATTGAATATCCACTGATTGAATATCCACTGATTGAATATCCACTGATTGAATATCCACTGATTGAATATCCACTGATTGAATATCCACTGGTTGAATATCCACTGGTTGAATATCCACTGATTGAATATCCACTGATTGAATATCCACTGATTGAATATCCACTGATTGAATATCCACTGATTGAATATCCACTGATTGAATATCCACTGATTGAATATCCACTGATTGAATATCCACTGATTGAATATCCACTGATTGAATATCCACTGATTGAATATCCACTGATTGAATATCCACTGATTGAATATCCATTGACTGTGTGCTTGATACCTGTATGTATGGTGCTTGTGCATCACTGCAGTGTGAGGAAGCCCAACCCTGCGCTGATGACACGCTATGTCAGGACACCGACGGTGGGTTCCGGTGCTTACCTTGTATCAGTCTTGGACTGTACGTCGGAGAGAGTCGTGTTGGCAGTGGGCTCGCAGATGCACGCAGCACCAGCAGCAAGCAGATCTGCACAGATGTGGATGAATGTGAGAGTGGCACTCACGATTGCTACGCTCTCTGTGAAAATACACCGGTAAGAAACACAGTGACACAGTGACACAGTGACACCGTACATGCACTCTACTGTACATGCAGCAGCATGGTAACCTAGTGGTAACCTAGTGGTAACCTAGTGGTAATCTAGTGGTAACCTAGTGGTAACCTAGTGGTAACCTAGTGGTAACCTAGTGGTAATCTAGTGGTGACCTAGTGGTGACCTAGTGGTACTTCCTCCGCGTCATCGAAATTGTCGCAGTTTGACTTTTGATATAAAACGGGTTTTTTACTCACCAGCACTTGTACCAGAGGCAAGGAATCGGACATAGGCGACGGTCATCAGTATAGGGTGACGGCAAAGTTCTATTTTCTGTTATTGGAAGCTGGAATTTTTGAACTAGACGCAATTTCTTCGCTGATGTCGCTGCGATGGTAATTTCGACTCGCTGAGATCAGTCAGGCGTTGCAGCCTGCACATATCTCGTGCTTATGGCCATTCACTCAAGCCTCATCACTGTTTTACCTTAGCTGGGGTGAGAATGACTTCGTGGAACAAGTGGCAGCGCTTGGAGAAACATCGAGGGGTCAGCAAACTAAATGCCTTCACCAGCGATAAAATTTGTCGCTCTGGCCGAGACACTCAGTACATGATTGTACCTGCAAGAGCCGTGTAGACTCTACACGTAGTGCTAGTGTCTGTACTAGTGATGCACACGCAGGTGCGTACCATGATACCAGTGAATCAGGGCCGGGCCGGCAGTGATGCTGAAAAAGAGGGCGCGCTGGACGTGATAGTACACTTACCTGCATGAGCTGTGACCACACAGCTAAAATAAATGGGCATGCCGCGGCTAAAAAAAGTTCATTTCAAGATCGAGGTGATTCCGCCGACGGTAATCAACCGACCTCGCAACGATCGTGTATTCTTACTAGGCTTCGTTGGTGGTGAAATCATCCAGAGCTAGCAGACGACAAGCATAGCAGCTCTTGTCCTGTGGAGAAAGTCAAAGCGTTTGAGATGAGGCGCGACCAACTTTCAACCTTCCTTGAAATATTTCAGAACGATATTTTTGCGTCCATTGACATCAGCGACGACGAGGACTTCATCTCTGCATGAAAACTCTCAGTCCAACTGTCCTGGAACGTTACTCTAGTCTTCAGACTATCATACTGTGTAATAAGTTTTGAATAGCTTAGCTTATGGAGTTGTCCGTAACAAGTGACAGGTCACTAGTCAAACTGCGACAATTTCGATGACGCGGAGGAAGTAATTTAGTGGTAATCTAGTGGTAATTGGCTACTCATGCTGCCCTCTGTTGCCCCGGCATTTGTTCAACCAGATACAACAGCAACTCGTAACAGTATGAGACCAAGAACTTTCTCCTCTGAGATAAAACTGCAAGAACAAAAACTGTAAACTGCTTCCTACAGTTCAAAACTGACAACTGAAAAACTTCAAAGGCATGGAAGTATACATTCTAGAATGACGAAAGCTAGAGCGCAACCGCAGCCTGCGAGTATCCACAGGACTGTGCACAAATGCAAAGACGAGTGAATATATTACGACTAGATAGCATGGAGACAGCACATGCATCAAACGATACGCTACTTGAATCTCAGACAATGCAAAGGTTGAGACTGGCCTGCGGTAACAATAGTCAATACATCAGGCGCCAGCAGCATGCACTAGAATAAAAGAAATGAAACCTGAGTACAATGAAAGGTCATGCAAGATTCACCACAAGCTGGGAATATTCCAGAACATATCCCCCTTCACTCACGAGCACAGGGTCAGCAAACAAACACAAACCATAGCCAGCAATCGCATGTCATCACGTACATTGAAAATCAACATAATTTTTCGAATCGACCTTTTTTTCAGGATCACTTTTCAACGAGGACGAAGCAAAGTCGGCCGAACGAAGCCTAGAGGAAGAAAATCACCCTCTCCACTTCACCATCACGATACTGACATAGATACGAGATGAAACAACTAAAAAATCCACAAGAAAACTGTACGACCATCATCGCGCTGACTTTGGTCTGACTTTGGTCTGAGAATTTCTATCACGATCAAAAATGTACGAGGAGCACTCAAAAATAAGCAACAGACGTACCTCTATCGCTCTCTACTCCTTTTTCAAGGCACAAAAGTCGACTCTCCACTTTCAAACCAGGAACCAGACATACCAGTGGTCCTTTTCAGCTGCTCCACGAGCGCAGGAAATGTTCACCAAGGGGCGCAGAGCAGCATCCATTCCAGAAAAAGAGCTAAAATACGAGTGAGACTGCATGCCTGAGTACATGAGTACATGTATGAGTACATGCAGAAAATAGTCAATTTCAGCGTTTCTGCTCCAAACAGCAACTAGCTTCGACTAGAAACAAAGATTACACCAAAGGATCAAACAACAACCATTTTCTGCAGTTTTTTTGCAGATGGCTTCCTTGTGCTTGGCCCAGCACGCCAAAAATCACACCTCGGAGGAGTACAAAAATTACAACTCTCAGATGTCCTCGATTGCTGGCCATGTGTGACGAGTGAGTACTACTACGGTACTGTATGATGAAAGAAAAACTTCATAGGTTGAGAGAGAGAGAGAGAGAGTACTGTCACAGGGCTGCCTGTAGCACTTCAGATACACAAGGCACAAACTACTCGGTGTCCAGAATAGGTACTAGATGGTGGATAGACCGTCGGTAGATCTTGTCGCCGATCTTAATATCCACTACTCGGACGAGCTTGTCTGCACCAGGATGCACTGCTGTGACTCTACCCATGGGCCATGTTCCACGGGGAGTGTTTGATGTAAGACACAGCATGATGTCACCTACGGCTACATTGCGACCTTGACGTTGCCACTTACGACGGACATTCAACAAGGGAACATACTCATCTCGCCACCTGTTCCACACGTCTGCTACAAGCCGCTGAACATACAACCAACGTTTGCGTGGGTCTCTGCTGGGGTGCTCGTCTGCTTTCACTTCCAGAGCCATTGGTGGGTCAAGTCGTCCGACGAGGAAATGTGCTGGTGTTAGAGGCTGCAAATCAGCTGCATCGGCACTTACAACTGTCAGCGGGCGCGAGTTCATCATGCCCTCAACCTGGCACATGGCAGTCACTAACTCTTCATCTGTGACGTCCGCTTTCCCAAGTACTGCTGTGAGTCCGCGCTTAGCCGTCTTGATGAGGGATTCGAATACGCCGCCGAAATGTGGTGCTCTAGGTGGGTTGAAGCGCCATCGCACGCCATCACTGACCAGTCGCTTCTCGATCTTCTCCTTGTCCATGGCCCGGACGGCCTCACAGAGTTCTCGCTCCGCGGCAGTGAAGTTGGTCCCGTTGTCGCTGACCATTTCAAGCGGGACACCACGGCGCTTTGTGAATCTCTCAAATGCTAACAGGAATGACTCAGTGGAGAGGCCATAGGATACCTCTAGGTGACAGGCACGAGTCTCAAGGCATGTGAACAGGCACAGGTACCGCTTAGCCTGCGTCTTACCTCGGCCCTGCTTGGTCAGGAAGGGACCCGCGTAATCAACTCCTGTACGGCTGAGCGGTTTCAACGAGCCTGCAACTCGGAAGTCTGGAATCTGGCCCATCATCTGGGACGCTGGCTCCGCACGGTTCTTACGGCAAGTGACGCAGTTGCTTCGAACGGCCTTGACTGTTGATGTTCCGTGAACAATCCAGTAACGTTGTCGCAGATTGGCCAGAAGATGCTGTGGCCCAACTGCATGGAAGCAGCGATGATCTTCCTGTTCGATTATCAGCTGGGTTACTCGGTGCTTTGCTGGTAGGATGACTGGGTGGCGTACGCCACTTGGCATGTTCTTTGTAGCTTGCAATCGACCTCCTACCGTCATCAGGGGTGACTCTGTTGCACTATCGAACTGGGGACAGAGAGGTGCCAGAGGGTCCGATTTCAACATCGGTTGCCTAGACTGTAGACGATGGTATGCTGTACCATGGCAATCCTTCTGGGCAGTTGCAATCCAGTGCCGCTCTGCTACTGGTACTTCGTCAGTGCTGAGAACTGGAACACTGATGGAGCGGGTGCCGCCAAGCTGTACTGGCACTCTCACTGGCGTGCTGGACTGGCTGTCCGATGCGGCATCCCCCTTCGTGGACTTGCTGTCACTGACTGCCTGCCGACAGTTTGCCACAAATCGCTTGCACCATGCTGTCACGCGTACCAGTCGCGACCATGTGCTAAAGCGACCCAGGATCTCGGAGGGTGGAGGGACGACTGCAACTAGCGCCGTCTTGAGCTGACCAGGCAGCGAGGATGTGCTGACTTCCTTCATCTGAGGCCACTCATCTGGCTGCTGGCGAAGAAACTGTGGACCGGACCACCACACTGCGTCACGGCACAGTAATGCAGCAGACAAACCACGAGTACCTTTGTCTGCAGGGTTGTTCTTTCCGGGAACATGTCGCCACTGGTGTGCTCTCGTTGAGGTCTGGAGCTCAGAGATTCGGTTGCCAATGTCCACTTTGTAGCGCCGGCTGTGGCTTTGGACCCAGCCCAAGACGTTCATCGAGTCCGTCCAAAAGGTGTGAGCTGACACTGGGATACCGATGGATTCAGCGATGAGATGACTAACGCGAACGCCAAGCACAGCTGCTCTCAGTTCAAGCTGCGGGATCGTCTGTCGCCTCACTGGTGCCGGCTTCGCTTTCGACATCGCTAGCGTTATTCGGGTGGTACCGTCTGGGTAGCTGGCTCTGACATACACAGCGGCTGCTATCGCCCGATCTGAGGCGTCGGAGAAGCAGTGCACGGAAAGACTGGCGTCTTCGGATGGCTGTTGTGGATCCTTGAAACAGCGGCTGATCTCCAGGTTACTCAGGTCTGGGAGGCCTTGGAACCAACCCTGCCACTTGACGACTTGTTCCTTTGGCAGCAGGTCGTCCCATCCCTGTCCCAGCAACCAGGCATCCTGCAGGAGTACCTTAGCCGTGATGACGTATGGCGAGATCAGGCCACGCGGATCGAATATGGAGGCCAGGCCGCGCAACACAGAGCGTCG